GGGGGTAGGACTAAGTACCAGGGTGGGTGCCACAGTTGCAGAAGACAGGCGCCGAAGACAGCGTGAGGAAGGGGCGGTGGAGGGTCAAGTCGTGAGGAAGGGCCGTGAAGACAGGCGGAGAGCAGGTCCGACGGGTCGTCCAGTTGACAGAACTGGTCAGTGGCTGGTCCCAGAGGCCGGCACACAGAACCTGCTCACATCTCATTGGCTCCTTAAGTCAGGCGACGGCCGGCAGTGGGCACCACTTTGACAGCGGCACTAGGACGGGTAGGTCGTTTCTTCTCTGACTCGGTCTTTTTACAAAGGTCTTTTTTTCTGCTGGTTTGTAATTGATTTCTTTCCATGTCTTGCTTTCAAAAATCATAAATTATCTTGTTTTTTTTAAAGTGTTTCTTTTTCTTGTCTGTATTGCTTTCTTTCTATTTTCTTTACAAAAGTTGTTTTTTTCTACTGGTCTGTAATTAATTTCTTTCTAGAGCTATGTCTTGCTCTTTATAAATTTCATTATGGTTTTTTTGTGTCTTTCTTCCACTGGTCTGTAATCAATTTCTTTCTGTGATCGAATTATTGCCCGTTTCTGTTTTCACGTAATTGTCATACTTATAGATCTAATTATCTTTTTAAATAAATTGTCATAATTTTGTTGACAACTGCTAGATGAACATTTGGTTTTATGATGAGATAATGTATAGATATATAGTATGCTTCCCCCCAGCTTACTTCTCTAACTTCCTGATCTTTCTCAATGGTATCTATTAGTTACCAACTACTGGACTGTCATTTCTTTTGGGACCCAACTATTGCTTCCTTTTTGTTTTCACTTAAATCTCAACTTAATTATCTCCTTTTTAAAGAAAAGAATATCTCATTTAATGGGTTTTTTCTGTTGGTCTATAAATTCTTTCCAGATCGAATGATTGCTTTTGTGTCATTTAATGTTCATCATGAGGTTTAGCTTTCAACACTGGACACTGATTCCTTTCCGTGATCTAATTATTGCTGGGTTGTTGGCTTTTTCTCACTTAATTGTCTTTAAAAAAAAAAAAATTTAATTGAGAAAGAAAAGAATAAATGGTTGTTGTTTTTTTGGTCAACTACTGGGCTAGGTTCTATCCTTTCTTTTCATGATCGAGTCATTGATCGGTTTTGTTTTCACCTCATTGTCTAATTTCATTACTTCCTTCTGATGAGTGAAAGAAAGACATGTGTGGTTTCTTTTCCTGGTGGTATAATTGGCTGCTCGTTCAAAGCTTTTGATTGGGCAAATTGATTCTCTTGTACATGGCCAACGTGATACTGATGAACCAGTCAGACCATGATTGACAGACATGTTTTACGGTACTTGTGACACACATCAGTGATCTAAGTACTGGAAGATTGGGGGTATTGGTGGAGAGAAAGACACACACACAGAAAAGGAGAGAATAGAACGACATAGGAAAGAAAGAGCAAACCGCACTAGAGCACTCTCCAGCCTCCCAGTATGCCACCAATGTATTCTTACGCTGGCTACACCAATGAACAGCTAGATCTAGTCTAGAGCCTCGTTGCTATGTGCGACAAAATGTAGACCTCGTTTTCAACATACGCTGGTTTTTATGCTGATAATGAAAGTAGTTTCTCCTCGTAATGCTGACATCGATATATGATGACATTTAACATGGCGCTCAACGAAAGAACATAGGCCCCGAGTGCTTTACAAATACAAGTCACAACACATAAACAGTAGGCTACATTGTATTCTGACTATTAAAAAACCCTGGATATCTAAGCCTATCTCTGTAATCTAAAACCACAAATTATAAATCATTATTTGAGCTGACTTTTGAATGCAAGTACATGTAATGTGCGAGAGGTGTTATTGTACATGCAACATGGTAGACTAGATGACCTCCTAGAGATTGTTTCTGTTGCTTCTGCATCATTGATGATTTACAGACGAAGTAATTCATTAGGACTTTAGAGACAAAGGAATTTATCTATTAATGTTTCAAACTAACTCATTAATGGGTGTTTTAAAGACGAAGTAATTCATTAGGGGTTTAAAGACAAAATACTTTAATTATAATTTATATTTCAAACTAACTCATTAATTGGCGTTTTAAAGACGAAGTAATTAATTAGGGGTTTAAAGACAAAATACTTTAATTATAATTTATATTTCAAACTAACTCATTCATTGGTGTTTTAAAGACGAAGTAATTAATTAGGGGTTTAAAGACAAAATACTTTAATTATAATTAATATTTCAAACTGACTCATTCATTGGTGTTTTAAAGACGAAGTAATCAGTTGGTGTTTTAGAGATGAAGTAATCAGTTGGTGTTTTAGAGATGAAGTAATTCATTGGGGTTCTGGGACTGATATAATTAGATCGATTGGTTTTTAAAGACGACGTAATTAACTAATTATTGGTTTCAGACGCAAAAAATTAATTGATGTTTAACAGACCGCATTAATTGGTGTTTTATAAGAGTTGAAATGATTCTTTGGCGTTTTAAAGACGAAGTAATTTGTTGGTGCTTTATAGACGAACGTGAATTAATGAGGAAGCCATTAATTGGTGTTTTAGAGCTGCAGTAATTAATACCTGTATCAATGTACTGAGCCCAATCCTGAAAAATAGAAACATCTCAATGACCACCAAAATGAAAGTTCTGAAATGCCATGTTTGGTCAACCCTTCTATATGGCTGTGAATGCTGGACAATCACTAAAGACAGTGAAAATAAAATAGAAGCAACAGAAATGTGGTTTTTTAGGAGACTGGTGAGAACGTCCTGGAAGGAAAAGAAATCAAATGAGGTAGTGCTTGATGAAGCCCACGTGGGACGCTCAATGTTAAAAACAATCAGGAAACGACAAATGCAGTTTTTGGGACACCTGGATAGACATAAAGGTCTAAGTCTTGAACATCTATCTCTCACTGGCAAAACTGAAGGCAAATGAGGTAGGGGTATGCCCAGAGCAACCTACTTAAGGAGCCTAAACAAATGGGTAACGGGGAAAGATCAGGGAAACGTAGCTTTTTAAAGAGCATCCGAGCAAAGGAATGAATGGAGAACCATGATCGTCGATGCCTGTCGCAGATCTGCCACTGGGTGATGATGATGATGAATGTCGTTATTTTCCCGTGTTTTAAGACGAAGATGGTTATTCTCTCTACACCACCACCACGACCCCCCCTCTCTCTCTCTCTCTCTCTCTCTCTCTCTCTCTCTCTCTCTCTCTCTCTCTCTCTCAGCCACCCCTCTTCCACTGTTTTCATCCCTCCACCTCATCTCTCCCTCTCTCTCTGTCTATCTTTGCCATCAACTGACTATATAAGGTTTCGG